ATATATATATATATATATATATATATATATATATATATATAGTTGTGTAGGGCTTGTGTGTGTGTTCAGACAAAGCGCCACGCCGGATGCAGGTCTCGAACAAGTCAACAGGGAGACATCAACATCATCAATGCACGTCAACATCACCAATGCAAAAGAGAGAAGAGAAGAGGAGGAAGGAGAAGAAGAGAAGAGAAAGAGAAGAAGAAGAAGAAGAAAGAAAAGCAAGAAGACCAGGAAGAAACACTAATACGTAGTAATAAAAAAGTCAATCTTCTGAGCACGATTGTAATAAAAAAGTATAACATGAAGCACAGACGGATTGACCCGACGTTTGGGCCAGCCGCCCCCGGACCTCATCAGGGGTCTTTCAGTACGCGGAAGGTAAGCAATGAATCGTAAAGCTCGACTTTATACTATGCGTATCAGCTTCCGACAGGCTAGAAAGTAAATTAAGCCCTATCATCAAAAGTCTCGAGCCTTCATCCTTCCACTATCAAAAGCTAGGCCCATACTCCTTTGCCTACCAAACTTGGATCTACAGGCTGTACGGAAACCAAACCAGTCACGCAATCAGCATCAACAGCGAGATCTACCGCCAGGAATTGAACCCACAACCTGTTGCAGTCAGCATCAAATCCTTTGACGAAAAAAATGAAGCCTACACTGGCAATCAACCAAGTCTTGAACCTGCAACCTACCACAGTCAGCATCGATTGCCGTGGCGGAAACAGTCAATAGTTCCACAGTAACCAGAAAGGTCCCGTAGTAGGTACCAACTAAACCTTGTTATGACAAAAATGAAGCCTACACCGACGATCAGCCAAGTCTTGAACCTACAACCTACCACAGTCAGCATCGATTGCTCTGGCGGAAACAGTAAATGGTTCCACAGTAACCAGAAAGGTCCCGTAGTAGGTACCAGCTAAACCTTGTTATGCCAAAAAAGTCCCACGGTAGGTATAAGTTGTACATCTACATCGTCGAAACCACAAGACTACACCACCCCCCAAAACCGCATTCTGCAGTTCACGCCAAGTCAACATCATCGTGACACCATGATAATACGTAGCAGGGAATTCGACCGTCACGCATGCTCAAAAATCCCATTACTGCGACCTTCCGCAAACAAACATGAACCTCCCTATCATCCAGCAAGCGTCAACATTCCTTGACCGTCTAGGTCCAGTGGGGCAGACAGAAAGACCATCATTACACTTCCAATTCGAAAGAAGACGTTTCCATCGAGTGAGCACAGGGATCCAAATGTCCCAGCAGCCACCAAACTTCTGAGAGAAGTTACATAAGGACTTGCCAAAAAATTCATCAGGATATCCTCTCCGCCACAATTCGCACTTCAACGTAAGAAGAAAATGAAACTCCAAACCAGGCACCGAGGTGAAGGTTCTAGCAGGTGAAAGAAGGAACCAATAACGACCATTTTCTGCTGACGACTAGAATATGAGGAATAGTCCTGAATGCATTGAAAAGGAAGAGATTGACCAATCGCGTGCTGTTGATTCTTATGCGTCGCACGACAGACAATCCTTCCAGGCTCTCTCAAAATAAACAGTTCACAACCAATAAAATCCCAACACTGACTAGTATTGGTTTGTTCTAAGACAAGTCTATCGTCATAACAGTTACGGAACCGTTCCAGCAGACATTCAGCCTTCTTCTTTGAGACAACATCATCAGCACAAAATTTAATAAACATGGATACATCATCCACCACACGACATTCTCGTATCAGCAAGCGATCACATCCAACAGAGGGGAGAAATGAGAACTCGTCAAAGGCACATATCAGACATGCAAGGGTTGGACTGGTAGTTTGCCTCATGGGAATTCCAACACTCTGCCAGAAGCGACAACAAACGTATGATCCAAGGTGAACTTAACGAATGAAAGAATAACCGGGAGATCAAGCCGTATCCATCCTTCCTCCCTTTTGCCTTTGGTCAACCTGGCCATATTACCAAATTTGCGAATAAGTACCCCCGTCACTATCGTCACACCTTCCCCAAACCAATAGTCGAGAATCCACCGAAGTGACCGAAGAATCGCCTCGTGCGGCAAGTTTGAAAACATTTCCTTTATATAGAAGGATGCTTCCAACACCTCATCTTGTTTCCGCAGGCTCCCATTAACATCAACAATCTTCCTCATCAGCTCATCGGTGAATCGCAGGTTAAAGTGAAGATTACTAGGAAGTTTCCAAAGCATGCAGTTGATAGCACGCGCAACACGCTTAGCAGCCATCACCGATCCTTCAGAGTGAGAGGGACAGATTGGTCTCCATCGAGATATATCCTTGTGTTTCGCCAAGCAGTAAGCACGTCCCAACCTGGCATCCTTCTTCCACCCTCCAATCGTTGAGAATCCACTGTCAACATAAGCACCTCTGCACCGGTTCAACACCACTTCCTCAGAATCAGTTGATTTAAGAAAGGCAAAATTACCCAAAAACAACTTCGTCATACCCTGTCCATACACAACAGAACAGCAAGCGAGGCTATCACCCGGGTTATGATCCAAAGGAGAACAAATCAAACCCCTCAGCCTATTCTGAAAGGTTCTCACAACATTTACCGTACAACCATAATCGAGAGAGTTTAGAGAAGGAGAGGAGCGGAGTGGACAAGAGAAGAGATCAACCGAGCAAAGAATCTCAGGATCCAAAGAAGGGAGAGAAGAGGTCTCGAAAGATTGCAAAATCTGTCGCCTCAAGCTTGAGAGAGGAAAGTCAACAGACGGGCAAAGCACATTCCTGGAGTTACGTACGCACGAAGGAAAATCTTCTCGTGAAGCAAAATGAAACACAACATGCTCTTCAATACACGGAAAATCCTCGTCAACATCCCTGCACGTACAGGAAAAATCCCCAGTCCTAGCAGCAGTCCGAAAATTGTGAATGATGTCACCAACAGAACGATTGCGACAAAACACCACCCGCATCCGTCGTATGATCATCGATCTCCATGCATGTTCGACTACCAACCTCCCGACCATCTGAGCACAAACCTTCCGAATGGCTTGCTTACAAAAATGATGATCATACATGATCCGGACCACCAACCGCTGCCTAACCGACACATGGAACCGAGAGAGAACCACCCTGGAAAGTATCACCTTAAGTCCACCACGATAACGCTTATCTTTGAAGCACCGGATGGCAGAGTACGCATGGATGAGATCACCGAAGCTCCAGGTCAACAAAGATTGACAGTAGGGAGGAAAACTGAGAAGACTGGCCAGACAGGGTTTCAACGAGAGAGACCGACAACAGAAGGGAGCAATGGTTTTGAACCTCAGAAAGACTCCACTCAATAACCACCCTCGTGATCTCCGCAGTTGGTCACGATCGAACTTGCATGACAACGTTTGACCACCTTCCAGTTGTCCAAAAGAAGGTTACCCCCTCGGCATACAATAGAAGTTGACGAACGAGAGTGGTCACGACAGAAATTCAGAATTTTCAGAAGGCTGGTAGAAACAACTCCGACAGACGAATAAAAAGTAAGTAAAGAGTATATAGGTGAAAAAGGGGACGAAGTCACACGACCATTTACTGCCAAACGTTGACTGAGTGTCCGTGCCCTCTCTCTTTTTCCCAACCGTTTCTTCCGATGCTTCCGAGGTTTGTCACGAGCGTTGAGAGAGGATGAAAACAAGCGGATAAAGAACCTTTCCGTAGCTTCGAGATCTTCCGACGAACATCGGTAGATAGGAATAGCCACGTAGTTACCTGCACCACACCTTCTCAACCAACGATAAAGCCGTTCATTACGTTTACCTTTATTAATAAACGAAGCATCACACGCGCGGTATACATGCTCATTCCATCGAACCAGCACATCCCGTCGAGTACTACCAACGTAAAGATGTCTACAGCAGGGGGAGACCAGGACATAGACCAAGGGACCTTCCACAACAACACCTGCTTCCCACCAAGAGGAGACAAAGTGAGTCAACTTAACAGCCCATGGAATAGAGTGTGAGACCACAAGAGCGAGAACGACCAGACGGAAAAGGGAGTCGAGAGATTTCAGGCGAAGATTACGAGTAGAAAGAGATCGTAAATCAGCACAAGAGCGAGCCAACGACCAAAGCAAAGCCGCACTCGGGAGGGACCCTAAGAAGTGACGGAGTCCCTCCCATCATTCCGACTGTCGACCTGCGCCCCACCTGCTATGTCATCCGAAATTTCTTGGACCACAACTCGTTTGCCAAAGGCACGATCCGCCCGCTTGGCAATAATCTCCGAAACCGTCTCGGTAAGTGTAGTGTACTTGATACCTTCCTTTAAACAAATTTCCATGACATCGTCATTCTTGAGATTTCGAAACTCCTTCCGTGCCTCCCGGAGAAATGCGTCTCTGACATTTTCTTTGGTATCATCATTGCCACCAACAACCTTCTTCTTCTTGTTGGTTTTCAAGCCGGAACCACCAGCCACGGTCTCCACCTCATCCAGACGTTCTCTGAAGGTAGACATTGGAGTGCGTTTCTCCACTCCACGCCTCCCCAGTTCCTCCTTCAATCTGGCATTCTCACGCTCGACTTCTCTCTGAGTCTCTGCTTCTCCTTTAATCGCTCATTCTCCTGTTCTGCCTCGCGTCGCCAGTTCAATTCTTGCATCCTCAAACCTTTAAGGGCATCAACCTCCAGGTTGTGTAACTGCTGTAATTGACTCGGATCCGTCACTGGTCGGTCCTTGTTGGCGGGAGTGGTCGCTGGGGGCATCTTGAGTTCAGAGGAGGGAGAAATCGTCAATCTACTACGTTTATTTCTAGACTTGAGCGCCTCCTTCTTCCATGCTTCAGCTTCAGTCACGGCTTCCTCATGAGATTGCTTCAAGGTACGTAATTCCGCTTCCAAGGACTCAACCTTCTTGCATGCTCCAGACGCACGTTCCAGGCTCGTCTTCATATCTTCATGCTCTTGGAGCATTCTTGCCAACAAAGCGTCGTTTCCAGTAGTTTGAGTACTGGTAGAGGCACCAGGATGCACTCCCTGCTTCTGACTAATCTTGAGATCCTCAATCTGTCTCTTCAACAGCTCCAGCTCACGTTCAACATTCAAGTTCGAGGATCGTAGAGTACCACAAACGGATTCAAACTTATCGTTCCATTCTTGGCTGAGCTCTTTCTGGAAACTCTCACGCTCCTGCTTTTCCCTGATACGCCGCTCCTCTTCTTCACGTTCCTTACGCAGCCGTTCCTCTTCCTGCCATTGAGCGAGTAATTTAGCCATCTCAGCATCATACCAATTCTTCAGCAGTCCAACCGTCTCCTCGAGCACCACAACCCTCTGATTTGTATTGAACCAACCACTGCCTTTAACGTAGTGTCCATTCGAACCCCCCGTATTGGAAGTGGTGGTAAGGGTGGATGGCGAGTTAGAAGTAGGGTTCTGAGACAAGGGAAGAGGTGGGAGGGGAGGAGGGGGAGGAAGAGGATTGGGGGCAGTAGCAGGTGCTGGAAGAGCTAGTAGAAGGGGATTGGGCACAACAGTAGTGTCAGTAGTTTGTTGGCGATGGGGACACCATCGTGCAAAGTGATTGGGGTATCTGCAGTTGAAACATGAGCGTACAGTACCGGTCGGCACATTAGCCATAGTACCACAAATGTCAGCCAAGCCACACTACCAGTAATCTAACTCCTACGGTGGTTACTTCGTGCAACAAAGTGTATGTTCAGACAAAGCGCCACACCGGATGCAGGCCACGAACAAGTCAACAGGGAGACATCAACATCACCAACGCACGTCAACATCACCAATGCAAAAGAGAAAAAAGAAGAAGAGGAAGGAGAAGAAGAGAAGAGAAAGAGAAAAAGAAGAAGAAGAAAGAAAAGCAAGAAGACCTGGAAGAAACACCAATACGCAGTAATAAAAAAGTAAATCTCCCGAGCGCGACTGTAATCAAAAAGTATAACATGAAGCACAGGAGGATTGACCCGACGTTTCGGTCGGCCGCCACCGGACCTCACCAGGGGTCTTTCAGTACGCGGAAGGTACGCAATGAATCGTAAAGCTCGACTTTATACTATGCGTATCAGCTTCCGATAGGCTAGAAAGTCAAATTAAGCCCTATCATCAAAAGTCTCGAGCCTTCATCCTTCCACTATCAAAAGGTAGGCCCATACTCCTTTGCCTACCGAACTAGGATCCACAGGCCGTACCGAAACAGAACCAGTCACGCAATCAGGATCAACAGCGAGATCTACCGCCTGGAATTGAACCCACAACCTGCAGCAGTCAGCATCAAATCCTTTGACGAAAAAAATAAAGCCTACACCGGCGATCAGCCAAGTCTTGAACCTGCAACCTACCAAAGTCGGCATCGATTGCCGTGGCGAAAACAGTCAATAGTTCCACAGTAACCAGAAAGGTCCCGTAGTAGGGCTTGAAAAACCCAACAATCTTATGTTTTTTATTTTGGAATCTGACTTCGTTTAAGATTTAAAAAAACTAAAAAATAAATTTTGATTTAAACAAAATATGAAAAATAAAATAAAACGAAAAACATGATTTTTTTTTGACATTTTTTATCATGAGGGATATGGTCCCTGAGTTATGCTGTATTTTTTTCAGAAATGATTTTCGGTTTTTTGTAAGGAAATTAGGTGTTTAAAAAAAATGAAGATGCAAAAATTTAAAACAAATAAAGAAAAAAAAGGGTTGATTGATTGATTGATTGATTGATTGATTTGATTGATTTGATTGATTTGATTGATTTGATTGATTGATTGATTGATTTGATTGATTGATTGATTGATTGATTGATTGATTGATTGATTGATTGTGTGTGTGTGTGTGTGTGTGTG